AGACAAGAACGAGCCAAGCTCGGAGTGGGTTCAGGAGGGAGCCATCCAGCACCAGGGGGTGGATCCAGGAGGTCGGGGGCAGAAGAAAAAGGATTATTTGTGCCAATGAAGGTGATTTTTTTCCCCCTTAAAAAAAAGTACTTTTAGAAATGAGGGAGTCACACACTGAGATATTTTACAAAGCCTCCAGTATTAATGGGCGCTCTCAATTGCCTTATTTTGAACAACAAAGAGACATCAGGGAAGGTGGTACAGCTTGAAACCACCTCAATCAATGTTAGTTTTAATGTCCTTGGACTGAACAGGGTCCATGAAAAAGGAAGCAATGAAACTGAACAAAGATTTAATCCTTTATTTCATCTCCTGTAAGTGTGTGATGCTACTTTAATACAATCTTTTAAAAATTGCTTTGAAAGCGATCTTTTAATTACACGGATAGATACTAACATATACAGGATGCGTGAAAACACCAGTTACACCAAAGCTACAGGAATGAACGGTGTTGATGTGGCATCCTACATAGACTGAAAAAGTGCTGCCTTCAAACAGCACGGACGGCCGTGAAGATGCTGTGATGCAGAAAACCGTTCCGGTTCATAAGAGTTCCAGTGATGACCAAGACACATATAAAAAGTGCAGAAAGTATCAGAACAAAATGTATTTCATGAATGGGGGCGGGTGCAGCATCTCTAACATAATATTTTATATTACATGACTTTATATACTTAACTATCATAAGAAGACTGGACTATTTCATCTACACTCCTAAAGTTCATAAATTCAAAAAGGCCAAAAAACATGTGACAGATTCTCTCTGGGAAAGCAGGGGACCACCTCCTCTACAGTTGGGCGCACCTACAGTTGGGCCAACAGGCTGTGTTTTGTGAAGAGGGAGGCGGGTGAACTTCCGTATCAGTTTGACGTAAAAGAGGCCACAGAAGTCAGACAGCAGGGGACTTGGGACTAGGAGGAAATTAACAAGGCAGTGGACAAGAAATGTGGTTCCATTCATTTGTGATGTGGGGGCAGCACAGACACTTGGAAGAGGAAGTGTTAAGTAAAGGGAAAATGTCTGCTCCTCCCCAGACTCAACAAATGGGACATTTGTCCATCAGGAGGAACAGCCGGAGATGGAGCCTGTGAAGGACCCACCCGTCCTCAGCCCAACTCGTGAGGACGGGTGCCCCTGGGCGGGGGTTGTCTCAGTTACCAACACCCTGTTTTGTCTAAGTAAACTCTTCACTGCAAGCTGTTTTTTTTTTTTAATGTCCTTCCTTTTACCAACTTTGTTTCCTTTTACATATATACAGAGAAAAAAAACCAGAACATTTTATGAAAAATAATTTCGTACCATTTACATAAAGGGACTAAACTAGTAGATATACCACTTTTTTGTTTGTTTTTTGTGGTTTTCCCTTGGAGTGGGGGAGGTCATTTGGTTTATTTATTTATTTTATGCTTACTTTTCATGGAGGTATTGGGGGTGGAACCCAGGATCTCGTGCATGCTAAGCACACGCTCGACCACTGAGCTCCACCCTCCCCACCAGACATCACTTTTAGTAGGAAAGATGAAGCACGACTTGGCTCCTTAACATTCAGGAGTTGATGGTTATTTTCCTCCCAAGTTGCAGAATCAGTGATTTGACAAACGAGAATTCACCTCCAGACAAATCCTTTCACTTAAAAATATTTTGCCTATGTTCCAGCAACTTTGATCATAAGGCCAAGCTAGCTGAAATAAGGCACAAGGGCAACTTCTGTACTTGCCAAAAATGGAACGTGTGGAAGCACAGTCTCCCCAGTTCATGCCTGCGCCCGCACCGTTACGACAAGATTAGATGAACGGTCCTTTCCACTGGGCAAAGTCAAGCTTAACTCACTGAGCAGTAATGTCCCATTAAAGGGTAACGATTGGGGGGGGGGGACTAAGTTCCCGAGACAACATTACCCAGGACAGGAAAGGACAGGATGGGACAAGGTTCCTCATCCAAGAAGCCTGATGGTGAACAGCCCGAAGACAGCATGAACCTGGTCACCTACCGAAAGGTGGGAGATCCTTCACGGGAACTTTCTTTCGAGAAGGGTAAAGGGACACGGCGGGGACCTGCAGGCCTTGGCTGATCTTCTGCGGCGGCTGCGGTGGCGGGGGCTGGGGCTGGGGCTGCGCCTTCTGCTGCGACCCAGCCCTCGGAGCCACTGGGGAGGTCTCAGATTTGACGGGCTTTTTGTCACCAGGATTCTTAGGCACTGATCACGGTTGGGTGTGAAAACAGAACAAGAGATTTAAGGAGTTAGTGGCTACACATGAGGTCATTTTAGGAATGCATAAACATCTTCTGTGGTGCAAATACTAAAATATGTACCTTTTTCCTGCTGCCTACCTAAAGGGCAGAAATGGGGGCAAGGGAAAACCCCTGTTACCCAAAAAAGGCATGACAAGACACAGATTCACTTTGTAAAACTCACCCTCTCAAAAGATGTTTGTACTATTAAGTACTGTGTTAAAAATACAAAATAGAAAAACATGGATAGTTCAACATATTATATGTATGTCTGCAAAAAAGCAAATATATGGTATTGTAACAGGAAAATTGTTACACGTTGTTTTTCTAAAATGGCACCCAAAATTCCTCGACCAAAATCCCTTATATATATTATGAGCTTAGGTTTAGTTTAATAAGTGACATTGGCTGCGATCTTTTTTCTCTCAAATTCTCTCTCCTATGAGGTAGAATAAACCACGTTGCCAACAGCAGCCAGTACTGCTTGGGTTTTATACCGAGTGTCTAATTCCAGGGCAGAGAGAAGGCAGAACAATTTAACAGGGCAATTAAACGCTGTGTTTTAAGTGTATTAATATTCCCAACCACCCCATGATGTATCATACTTCCTTCAATTTACATGTAAAGCAGCTGAGGTTCGGGGAGCTCAGTGACCTGCCCAAGGCGACACTGTTAGTACGAGGAACACAGGGTTTGCGTTCAGACCAGGCTGACTCTGGAGGACAAGCTGCTCACTCTCTGCCGCAGAGGTTTTATTAAAGTTTCCCGGGCAAGTCTACTGACTCGAATCTCACAGCGTCCGACACTGACCCTCCAGCGAGGTGGTACCTTCCAACCTGCCCACAGAAGCCCCCCAAGTGTCCTGCCTGGAAAACGCCTCCGTCTTACAAATTCCGATGCCGAGAAAGAGAAAACAGCCCCATTTCGGGCCTGGCCAGGCGGTTAAGGCGGGTGGGGGAGGGCTACCAACGGGCGGCGCCGTGCTCACCGCGGGGCAGTCACTGCGGGTGCGCGGGCGCTGGGGGTCGGGGGCTCCTGCGCACCCGGTTCCGCGCTGCTCCCAGCCTGTCCATCACCTGAGAAGTGGGAGCTGCATCACCTGTGTCCCCGGCCTGCGCTCTGGCTGCAA